ACCTTCTCACACTTCAGCTGGGTACAGAGTCCTCCCAACACTGGCCAAGGGCAACTGGAAACCCTCCTGGCCTCAGAAATGCCATCCAGCCCGGACTTGGATACCTCCAGGAATGGAGAACTCATTACCTCATAGTCATCAATCATCGTGTGGGATTCCTCCTTCCCTAAAATGAGCCAGTATGTATGCCCATGGCCCTCTGAGGGACCCAGGGGCAGGTCATGACCTCTCCGTTCAGAGCAGGATGGGGGTTTGGAACCTGAATCTCCTCTTCTAAGGTCAACACTTTGGGTCCTTCCTTCCATGGCCTGGTTTCGGCCCCCACCCACCAGGCGTCTGCTCTGCCTTCTGCTGGGTGAGCCCCATGTTGTCACCACTCTTCCTAGTTGGTGGCCTTCAAAACTCCTAAAATGGTGTGAGGAGGTCTGAGCAGCCCAGACGACCCGTCTCTGCTTCTGCCTTCCCCAGCCCTCCCCCTGTCCCCAGCACATGCACCAGGAGAACAGGAGTCCAGGACATACCCAGCCCTTGCCTCCTGCTGCCAATCTGAAGCCCCTCCTGACCTTGAACTTTGGGGGCCAACTCGACTCCTCCTGCCTGGGGTGGGTGACTCTTCTAGCAAGGTCAGCTGAACCTGCCTGCTCCTTCCAGGCACTTCCATCTGTCCTCTGGGTCCTGGCCTTGCAAATGTGGGAGTCTGCCCTGGGGCTCACCCCTTCCCACCAACTATATCCCCCATGGCCCCAGCGAGGCAGAAGCAAGGTCTAGGCACCAAAGGGCATACCTGAGAGTCTGCCTGGGCAGCCTGTTCCACCTGTAAGTCTATTGTCAGCGGCCTGAGGCTATTGATGTCCTGTCCGGCAGCCAGCCAGCTCAGGGGTACACCTAGCCACTTTGAGGACTGGAAAAACCACAGCCCACACAATAATATCTGACGCATATTAACCACACAGTGCTTCCTCCTTTCTATTCTACTTCCTCCTCCTCAGTGCTGACCCGGCCCTACTGCCAGAGGGTCCCAGGCTTGGAAGGAGAGGCTCCCTCACCCCCAACTGCTTCCCTGCACCGTGCCCCCAAATCCGCATCCCCTGCTCGTGCGCTGGCTAATTCTGGCGTCTCATCAGACAGTAATTACGGGGGAATCGGCAGTGCTGTCATCTCTGCAGCTCGGCACCTGTCACCACGCCACCATCCCCAGGCGGCTGAGATGGGACCGGAAGCCGAGGGGGGAGGACTGTGCTGGGATGAGGGGCATCTGCTCCTTCTCTGCCTCTGCAGCCCTTGCCCCCCTTCAACCCTACCTCCTCACGGGGCATGCAGCACTTGTCGACTCTGTGGCCACCAGCCACCCAGGGCAGGGACCAAATGCATGGGGACGCGTGTCCCCAACCAAACAGAGCGTGATGACAGCAAGCCGACGCTCAAATCTTCCCTAGCCCTTTCACATAGCTGTGACCTTGACCGAGTCATTTTACTCCCTGGTTGTCAGTTTCAGCAATGACCAAGTGGGGAGACAGTGCCTACCTTGGGAAGATGGGAAGAATCAAGCATGTAAAGTATCCAGCCCCGTGATTACGTATCCATTCAACAAACTACACACCTACTCTGTGGGTCACCATGATAAGTGAGTCACAGCTTGGCAAAGAGCACCCTGGGGCCACATTGGGGCACAGCTATTTTGTCTGGCTGATGGTGTCCTGTTTTGTTTCTTTGAATTTTCCTGTTTTTAAGGAGCATAAGCACTGTCCCTCGTAGGGGACAGTTCCCACTGTTTCAACTGCCCTTGGCTTTGCACTTTTCCTGCCCCTTTAAGGCGCTGCCTTTGCTGTCCGCCAGAGCAAACGTGGACTACGAGGTTCCATTGGATCCAGAACCAATGGCCGTTAAGAGATTTGACAATGCCATGGGAATTCAGAGGGGACAAGCCTGGAGGTGGTCGGGAAGGGGCACCTCAGGGAAGAGCAGAAATGGAGGTGACCAAGGGGGGTGTCCCGGAAGAGGAGTCACAGAAGCAAAGGTTCACCAAAGAGACAGGCCAGGCGCATTGGGAGCTGCTGGAGACATAAGACATCTAATGAGGTCCTTCCTGATGTTGGATCTCAAGGCTCCAGACATGTCCCCCTCCTCCAGAACGGTTTATTAGGTGGGCCTCACCGGCGAAGCCACAATATAAGACCAGCTCACAACCAAGTAGCATCTGCTGTCACAACCAAGTCACCGAGTCACTTTCCTGCCCTCGTGGTCTTTTCCCCACATGGAGAGGAACTCTGACCCAGCCAAAAGGAGGTCTGGAAATGGGAATGCCTTAACCTCCAGTCCCCCTCATATACCTTCCCCAACTCCAGGGTCCGGAGTCCCTGGGGTGCCCCAGGGGTGGAACCAGGAATGGGGTTGGGGAAGGAAGGTGCCGATGAACCTTAGAGTCAGTTCTCAGTAGCATGGACTCTGGAGGGACCGTGCGCTCAGGACTGCAGAGAGAGGCAGAGGGGAACCGCTCCACGTACAGCGTGAGAGACTGAGGCTAGACCTAAGAGGCTAGAGAGCTTTAGGCGGAAGGGGGAGTAGGGCTGAGGATACCATAATGGATTATCTATGTGACCTTGGGCATGTTACTTAACCTCTCTGGTCTGTCTCCTCCCCCATAAAACAGAGACCTTAGCATTGAGGACACAGGCCGGTGGGTCGTAAAGATAAAATGAACAGAGCTTAAGCCAGCACATTGTTCATGTATTAATAAGTAAACATTCAGTAAATATTGGTCATTAGTATTTTCATTATTACAGGGGATGATTTTACCCCAAATTCAGCAAGGACTGAATGAACCCCCCCACCCCACCAGGCCCTCACTCCCTTGCTGAATCGGAGTCCATAAAGGGAACCAGGAAGTCTCTTGTAACTGGAACCAGAGTCAATGGGGGCGCTGACCACATTGTGTCCACTTTGGTGGACAGCCCCCACCCCTAATAATCCTTCACAACACGTTTCCAAGACCCAACCACATCTTAATCTGCTCTGGGAGGCAGGACAGGGTTGTTTCCCCTCTCTACAGATGTCAGAAGTCTTAGAAGGTACTGAGCTCCCTGCCTCTGGGAGTATTCCAGAAAATGGTGGGCAAGAGAGGAGAGCATTCAGGACCTCCTCTTGGTTCCCTGATCCCCCCCCAGTCCACCGGGGTGGCTGAGCCCCGGCCCCTCTGCTATGGGTGCGGGGAAGGGGGGTTGGTGGCCCCTGTGACCAGGACTGGGGTGGGGGGCAGCGTTGGGCCGACAGGAAGGGCTGCAGTTTCAAGTGCTGTTGCCTCCTGTCAGCAGCCACAGTGGGGGAGGGAGAGGAGCAGCCTTGTTGCTCTTTTAGGAAAACGGTAATTTTAATTAAGAGGCAGACAAACGAGCACTCTGCAGATTGTCTCAGAGCAAAGTTATTAAAAAGCCATCAAGGCGTCGGCAGCAGCCACAGTGGCAAGGAGGGCTGCCTCCCCCAGCTGCCCGCCCAGATTGGGGCTGAAGCATCCTTCAGAGAGACGGAGGACTGGAGGACGTTGAGTCTGCAGACAGCCAAAACCCAGATCCTGCAGCCCTGCTCCCCTGGTGGGGCAGGGGAGAGGGAGGAACAGAGCTGCAGCCGGACAATACTGGGACTCAGGCTGGGGCTCAGGCTGCCCCAGGGGGCGAGAGGGCTCACGCAGGAAGGGAACAAGCAATGGGGCAATCCTTGCTGCAGGCCAGGCTCTGGACCAGCTGCTCGTTTTCCTGTGCTCTTCTCATCTATCCTGCCATTTGTTTTTAACTTACTCTCTCTCTCTCTCTTTTTTTTTTTTTTTTTAAGTAAGCTTCACACCCAATGTGGGGCCTGAACTCATGACCCTAAGATCAAGAATCACATGCTCTACTCACTGAGCCACCCAGGCACCTGACAACCCTGCCATTTTCCAGGCAGGAACACTGAGGCTGGGAGAGGACAAGTGGCTTGTCCAGGCCCACAGAGCTAGGTAATGGTTTAAGTGAGGATTTGAACCCAGGTCAGGCTGCCTCTCAAGTCCAGGGCCCCAGGCTGCTGATCCTGGGCAGCGAAGTAGGGGGTCAGCTCCCCAAGGCCTCTGAAGAGTCCTCAGCACAGGTCCCACAACGCTGCCCAAGTCCCCAGGGACTTACTGCTTACTCGGTGGGGGCACACTATGTGAGGGGCACCATCAGGTCAAGGGACACTTTACAGGGACATGAAGTAGAGAGCAGTTGCCGGCCAGGGAGCAGGGGCAGACAGGGGCGTCAGGGGACATGGAGTCACAGTCCTGGAGTAGGAGCAGGCACTTTACAGTCAGCTGCCCAAGCCATGGCCCTGGCTCCACAGCAGGTGAATTCAGCCAACTCCTTACCCTCTATCTGCTCAGCACTTAAGCAATGGAAGAACTCTTATCTGTCTTGGTCACTGTTGGACTCAGACCTTAGCCCAGGGCCTGGCACAGAGAAGGTATTCAATAAATCTTTATTGAATGAATGAACAAACGGACAAATGAATGAATGAACGATTGAATCATTGAATAAATGAAATAAGATCACAGGTTTGCAAGTGCCTATAAACTAAACAGAGCTGTATTGAGGTGGGATGTGGTCCCATGTCCCATCCCCCACCCTCTAGCCTCCGCTGGAACATGGGTTTCCCTCCGTAAGAAGGGCCCCCTGCTCCTGAGGCCCTCTCCCCAGGCCCCCCAGGCCCCTGCCTCCTCCCCCGGCTTCCCAGCCCAAGGAGGCTTTGCGGCCAGCACGCTTATGTACATGCACACACACACTAACTCACATGCACACATAGACACATTCTCCGCCAGGCAAGCTGCCCTCCCCGGAGTCAAGTCTCTGCTGTCCCCTCCCCTGGCAAAGGCCTGGGCCCACCAGGGAGAGCCCCCCCTCCCCCATTTCTGGCCATCTAGGTTGGCAAGAGGCAGTTGGCTAAGGAGCAGTGTGAGGCAGGGCGGTGGGGGGAGGCCTCCCTCCTGGCTTACTAACCTGGAGACTTTAAACAGAGGGAACAGAGTCCTGGAGCCTTCCCTCCCGCTGCACGCTGGAGCCCTGGGTGAGGGACAGGAAAGGAGGAAAGTCGTGAATGAATGCCCAGAGCCAGAGGAGAGGAGATGGAGAGAGCAAGGGGCCCAGGGTGGGGCTCCCAAAGTGGGATGGCTCCCAGATAGGGGCCTTGGGCCATGGGGCTGGAGAGGGGCAGGGACAAGGCAAGGTGGAGCCTTAACAGCCATCCCTTTAGAGGTCACTGGGAGGCTGGGGGTGGGGGCAGGAGGGATAGAGACTGGGTGTTGGAAGAGCAGGGGCTGAAGGGGCAGAGACACTGGTGGGAGACAGACAGGAGGACAGACAGCAGGACGACACAGAAAACATGGGGTCCCTAGAATGAGGTCCCCAGGACAGACAGTCAACAAACCAGGCCCTATTCTCCTCCCAGAAACAGAGACAGGCCCTTTCCTGGAGCGCCCACATAAGATCCCAAATGATAGCACCTTCGAGGGCCCACCTGTGTTGCCCACCCAAAGTCACCCCATCTTGGAAAGCTGGTAGGGTCAGAGTCAGAGGGGCCTGCCATCACCGCTCTGCTGACAGCCTTATCCCAGCCCGAGACCCCCATCTGCTCCGTTTACCCCCTAACGCTAAGGAAGGTCCCTCTTCCCACTGTAAGGAGGAAACATATTTTACATGTAACCAGCACTCACACACTCACGCTGTGCAGGACAATGGCACCTGTGCCCCTAATTGCTTGAAGGTCTATACCTCACTCCTGCCTCCACACACCCCCCAACCTTCAGAGTGCGGGGCACAGCCCCCTTTCAGCCTTCATCAAGGCTGTAGGCCTCCCACCCCACAGGGAAGTCCTTCTAACTGTAGCCTTTCCCCCCTTCTGCTGCCTTATGGTCCATTGCCTTCCATCCTGGGGCTGGTGGCATGAATCCCCTTCCTGCCCGGAGGGAGACACTGTGGCCGGGACCCTCTCAGGCACAGCCTTCCAGAGGCTGGCTCAAACCCATCCATACCCACATCACGTCTGGCTGCAAGAGTTCTCAGAGACCCCTGCCAATCTCATGGTTCCAATTTTCCCACCGATTACCCAAGACGCAGGCATCCCAGGGAGAAGCAGCTGTTGTACCCAGATGTGGGGACATTGACTGAAGGAAGAAACCAAGAATTCTCACTAACGGATCTAGCCCCAGAGAGTTTCCCGGACCAGGCAGTGAAGGTTAGAGTGGGGCGCGAAAGGGGCAGATGGACAGGGGCGCGGAGTCCAGAGAAGTGACGACTCAGGGGGCCTACCTTCCTTCCCACCATCCGCCTTCAGTGGCAGCTCCGGAGACCCAGCCCCAGATAAACTGAGGTGAGGATGTGGATTTCAAAAAACACTAAAGAGGTTTTCTCATGTATGCCCCTTCCTCCAGGAAGACAAAAAGGACTTCACCCATTCAGTCATTCCTTGGACGTGAGGAGGTCAAAGACAAAGCAATGACTATTTCTTAAAGGTTTCCAGTGAGCTAGGAACTCTACCTAAATTACCGCATTTCATCCTGGTACCCATCCTTCGAGGAAAACGCTGTCGTGGGCCCCAATTTACAGAGGAGGAAAATGAGCTTCAGAGGCGAAATGACTTGCCCCAAACCACAAACCTCTGTCTGACTCCAGAACCCAAGCTCTTGACCCCTGAGCTAAGCTGCCTCCCCTCTAGCCTCCTAAGGCCTTGTCTGTCTCCCCTCTTTCCAGCCCAGGCTCCAGGATATATCATTTCTGAAGGACAATAAGTGAAAGAGAAGGCTTGGTTTCTTTCTCCTTCTGCCTCATCCTCGGGGTGGGAGGCAGAAGAGGCTAGGTCTGGGCTGTGGAGGAACCAGGGACCTGGGGAGAGGATGAGCTGTTGGGTTCGGGAGAAGCCCGGACCAGGATCTCCTGAGCTTCATCTTTAAGTGAGGTCTGGCCCCTGGGGCAGGGGTAGGGGGTGGGAGGACTGCTTTCCTGCTCTCCCACCTCCTCCAGGAAGCCACTCACAGTCCCCTTCTAGTCCCCTTCTCCTTTTAACTTCCAGAAATCCCTGAGTACCCAGGCTGGGGAGAGTGTTAAAAGTCAGGGGACCAGCAAAGTGAAAATCCAAGTCAGTCCTAAAAGCCCTCACTCTTCCTCAGAGCCTTCTCTCTTAGAAAGCGGCTGGAACAAAAATGGGGACGCATCAGGCCAGCTTAGCCCCCACCCCCACCTCACCCTCCCTCAGTAGGGGTGGACTGGGCAGGAGGCAGCCCAAGAGAGCAGGCAGAAGGGCTGAGTGTTTCTCTGAAAGGGCTTCAGTGAGCCGTGGAATGCCTTCCCAATGAGATGGAATCGTTAATTCTTCCCCAATGAGGCAGATGCCGGTGCCTAGGGTGACACCGCGGATGCCCGCTGTGTCTGCAATTATCACTCGCCCTGGGGGGGTGGGGAGGCGGCAGGACACCCTCCCACAACCACCTCCTAGGCTCCGCAGAAACATCTTGAGCTAGGCCTCTCCAGAGCGGGCCCCTGGAGTTGGGCTGCTCTGTGAGGTCTCTGGGTCTGAGGGTTCCCTGCAGGGCCCTGGGTCTGGGGTCTCCAGCAAGCTCTATGGCTGGGGTGGTAAAGAAGCCAGTGTGCTGGGATGGGGAGGTCTGCGGAGACGAGGAAGGCAGGCTTGGGAAAAACCCAGCTCCTTCCCAGTCTTGACAGAACTCCATGCCGGGACATGCAATCAACTGGGCCAGGTGGTGGAGGCTACCAGGAACGAGAAAAAGGTTGTTGGGGAGAGGAGCCACCCTCGGGCAGTGCCTCCGAGGAGGAAAATAAGGACTGGATTGTAGTCCCTGAATGGAATGGAATGTAGAAAAGCCAGTTCTGCCAGGATGGAAAACGTTGAGTTTATGATTCAGACAGCTGAATCCTCTGGCCACTCCCTTATCCAGCCTCCAGGCTGAGAGGGTAGACTTTGGGCAAAACGTGTCTTTGCAGCACAAGGGACTGTTTGTAGTGTGTATGTGTGTGTGTGTCTGTGTGTGTGTGTGTGTGTCTGTGTGTGTGTGTGTCTGTGTGTCTGTGTGTGTGTGTGTGCCTGCCCTCCCACGCCTGTGCCAATATTCTCTTGGGCCAGCTCTCCATTTTTCCAGGTTTAGCTGAAGCTGGGAAATATTCTTCCCACCCTCTTTGTGGCAAGGCATGTTTTATCTCAGGGGAGAGGAAGGAGGTAGAGCTTGTGACAGCTGGAAGAGACCTTAGAGATTCTCCAGTTCCACCCTCTTTTTTCATACCAAGCACACTGAAGACCAGAGCAGGCAACTAACTTGCCCATGGTCACACAGCAGTAGGGAAGGCAAGCCACCTGATTCTGGTCCCATGCTCACTCTTCCCACTGCATTTCACCTCTTTGCCCTGGGGAATCGAAGAGTGACTACCCGGTCCCCTTTTCCTCCCCAGCAGGACTGGACCCCTCTCTCTCACGCACCCCTGTACCCTGTACTCAGCCAGCCATAACAGCTAGAAGAGTTAAAGTGCATCTACCAAGCGCCTCAGGATGGCCCAAAGGTCATCGCAAAGGTCATGCCCACAGGTCCCCTGCCCTTAGGTACAACACCAGCTTACTCATGTTCACATATACCTGTCATTGAGGTCAAAGACCACCGGAGCTCCCCACCTTGGAGTGTCCCCCCCCCCCCCCCCGCCCCCCCCCCCCCCCCCCCCCCCCGACACACACACCCCAGGAGGCTTTCTTTCCTATCTAACCTCTATTCCTCCTACTACAGCATGGGCCTGTTTCCTTTCAAGCTGTCCTGGGCAAAGATGGGGGGAGGGGAGAAGAATATTTTCTCCCCCCACCCCAAGCCCTTCTGTCTGCCCACCCGCAACAGAGCAGATGAGGGCAGGGTGTCCTCGGGTGGCTGGGCCCTGAGCCCAGTGCGTGCATGAGGCACGAGGAGCACACTGGGGGAGCAGCAGCCTGAGTGTGGGAGAAGCAGCTCTTCTGGGAATTGTCCCTGCAGTTTCTCATCCCCTGCAAAATCCTAGGTCTCAAGGTTAGGGGAGGGTCTTTTCTGGTTTCAGAGACTTTTGTTCTCCCTGTCACACCAGTTACTGGGTGCTTACTATGTATCAAGCCTTGTGTTGGACATTTTCTTCTATGATTACATTTAATCCTCACAGCAATCCTATGGTCACAAACAAATCTGCCCCCTGGGACAGTCCCTTCCTAAGACTAAATCTAACCTTGATCCCTCTTGTTCCATTTCTGCTGGCCCGGTCCTCCTCAGTAGCGGAGGCCATCTCTGCTTCTGTCTTCAGATATTCTCGCCATGACTCAGTGGCCCCACATTATCTTCTCCAGGCTGCCAACCTTTACTCCGGCCTTGCCCTATGTGATGGGCATTATAGGGGCCAAAGCAACAGAAGCAGGACTGGGGGCTTGGATCCATGACACTGGCCCGTGCCAGACAGAGCTCTGGCCAAGAGGTAGGAGAGGAGGCTCTGGGGGCAGTACCCCCCCCGGAGGTGGGGACAGAACCGGAGGCAGCAGATTCTCTCTCCCTGATGATGTCTGTGACCCTTGTAGGGAGCATGGGGCTAGCCCTCTCTGTGACCAGCTCTCAGGTCCAAATTGCAACCTACAAGCCCAGGGGACTGCACAGAAGTGGGCAGGGCTGCAAGACACACCCTGATCTGCCCTGGGCTGTGGGGAGTGGGGAGCTGACACCCGAGGAGGGACTCTTACACCTGGCTAAGCTCCTTGGCATCTAGAGGGTGCTCAGGCCCTGGGAATGGAGGAGGGAAACCCCCAAGCCAGCCTCGGCAGGGTTTCATACACTCCATGGTAGCCACAGGCAACTTCAGTAAATTCACACAGCACTTGGCTTCCCTATTTGAACCTTCTGTAGCAGGGGTGATGAGGGTAAGGATCCCCTCCATTGGGGCTACCCCCTATCCTGCCTCCAGCATGTCTGGAACCCAGGGGCCAGACCCACCTCCCCAGGAAATGCTCAGGCCTCAGCTTCCAACCCCCTAGGAGATTCCAGCAGTGAAAGCATGGGCCAATGGGCAAGGGAAGTCAGAATGGTGGGTGGGACTCTGGTCCTTGTGGGTGGCACCTTCCCCCTTCAAGCAGGCACCATTAATATATGCAAAGCATATGCAAATCACCCAGAAGAGAGACACAACATCCACGGAATGTCAGAAGAGACCTTGGAGATGATCCAGCCCACACCCCCTCATTTCACAGGTGAGGAAAGAGGCCCACATCAGGCAGGGACTTGTTCAAGGTCACTCGGACATTTGGGTGCTGAGGAAGAGTGGGAATGAGCTCCCTTTACTCAGAGTCTAGTGCTCTTTCCACGACAGTCCTGTCTTTTATATGGGAGGTGGACAAGATGGCAAGAGGGCACAGGGCTTGGATGGGGCTCCATGAAGGCCTCCCAGAGCCCAGGGGTGAGGGGTGGGACTAGGACCCCTCCCTTCCCACCTCTGAGCCTGGAAACTGCTGGGGTGTGAGGGGAAGAGCATGGACAGGGCAACAGCGATGCCTGGGACTGTGGGTGACCAGAGGGGCGGAGGGACCAAGGCCAGAGGCGCTGGTTTCCGGCAGCCAAGCAGCAGAAGGCGGCAGGAGAACTGGAGTGTCTGAAGCCCAATGTCAGGGCAAGGTGCCCGCTGTGGTGTGGGGAGGGGGATGGTTTCCTTGCTACACACACACACACACACACACACCCCTCCAGGGGCTCAGCAGCCCCCTTCCGCTTGGACTCTGATAATTATGGCACCTGACAGACCATAATAATCAACCCAGCCCCATCCCTTCAGTGGCTGCGGCTGCCCTCCACCCCCCAACTTGGCTTCTCCAACCTTCCAGACAGTCCTAGAAAGCAGGACCAATGCTGGGGGGAGGAAGACAGACAGATGGGAGGAGGGCAGACAGAGTGAGAAAAGGGGAGACAAGGTGGGGGGAGAGAGACAGAATGAAGTGCAGGGCAGGAGAAACCAAGGGGCAGAGAGAGGGGAGGCCGGAGGAAGAAGTGGGGGATACACAGGGGCAGGGTGGGGGGAGATGAGAGGGGGAGGGGGAAAGTGGGAGCAGCAGAGCAGAGAGAAAGGACTGCAGGCCTCTGGGACTGAAGCAAAGCCGGAGCCTCGGTATCGGGCATAGGAGCCCCACCAAGGCCTCGGGACTGTCTGGCAGGAGTTGGGGACCAAGCCCCTTTCCCTCTGCCCACCTCCCCAGCAATTCCTGGGCTGCCAGGCAATCAGTCCATCCTCCTCTGCCTCCCTCCCTCCCTCTCTCCCTTGGGGCAGCAGCCAAATCCAAAGCCTTCATCTCTGCTTTTCAGAGCTGGGAATGAAAGAAGGGGAAGCGAGTGCAGCCCTCAAACCCGCTGACGGCCAGATTTTTATTATCTTTGCTCGAATGGGCCCTAGGAAGCCAACAAGGGATTCTTCAAAGAGCATCTGAGTGCCTCATTGAAGCCCACACCTGCACCAGCCCACCCACGACAGGCAGTCAGGGCTTGGGGGGCACAAGCTGTCCCCCACCTCCCACCAAGCCCAGAGACCAGACTCAAGGCTGCCAGGAGCCTCACCCTCAGCTCTCTGTGCCTAGGCAGGGGCCACTGGCTCAGGCAACCAGGCTCCAAGGCCACACCCAGGACTGCTGGGCCTCTGAGGCAATCTCTGTCCCTCTCTGGGCCTTGAGGACACAGCGAAAGAAGAAACTGGATCTCCTTGCCAGGGCTAAAGGAGATAAGTGCTCAGAATTCCTCGAAAGAGAAGCTTTTATGGCAAGCCCTAGGTCTTTCCCCTGAACTCACCGCCTGCACCCCCAGACAGGCCCCCTCTGCTGCCTCCTGACTCCCCCTTGCAAAACCCCACCCAACCACAGCTTCCCCTCCATTCCAGAGCCCCAGGCCCACCATTCAGTATGATCCTGAACCCCAAACCCCCCTCCCTCCATCCAGACCCTCAGCCCCAGCTCCCTTCTTTCCCTAAGACCTGACCTGGAGTGGGGGTGGGGCTCAAACAGACCCGGTACTTTAAAGAGCCCAGCCCCCTCCCTCCTAAGCTTGGGTCAGAGAAAGCCAAGGTTGGCACTGTGCAGACAGAAACCATGCCACCCCCACCCCCCAGGTCTGACCACACTGTTGAGATCGATGCCCGCAGCCAAAGAAGGAATCAATGGTTCTAATTAAACCCTTTTTCCAGGGTGGGTCCCTGGGAAGAGACAGAGAAAAAGAGAGCATCTGAGGCTCTGTATCCCAGCACACAACGCTGTACCCAGTACATCTTTAAGAAACCTGGAGCTCAGCGGGAATCAGGCCACAAAGACCCCAGACATCCCCCCCACCCACCCACCTCCGGCCTGGCCGACATTAGACAAGGAGCAAGCAGAAGGCCTGGGGTGGGGGCAGGTGTCCTGATGGCTCATTCCCAGGGATCCTTCCCCTAAGAGAGTTCCCCCAGTTTCCCCTCTCCACTCAGCCCCTGAGGATCACAGTTGCTTCTTCCAGATCCCCAGAGCACACGGGGGACCCACATCTCCATCCCAGCCCTGAGGGTCATCATAGAGAATCGGCCATCATGGTAAGGGCGGAAAGGAATGGGGCGGCCGGTGGGGGCGGGGGGGGCACTGGACAAAGACCCTCTTGTCCCCAAGGCACGGTGGCAAGAAGCCAGGGCAAAGCCTTTGCACTCACTGCCAATGGTGCCTGGGTGCCAGGCAATCTGTGTGGAGGGTGAGAGGGATCTTATTCTTGCGACCCCCTCCTCTTAAACCCCAAGCCTTCACCCCCAAGCCTTCCTTCTACACGAGGCCACCAGCTAAGTCTCTGCCCCAACAACTCTTGGCTCGCCTGGAGCCCTCCTTCCGGTGTGAATGCCAGGCCCTGACACTTGCTCACAGTGGCCCCAACACCAGCCAGAACTAGCAAAAGCCCTCCTGCAGAAACCCAAACTGTCCCCCACATACACACACACACACGCACGCACACGCACAACCGCACGAGAGACACCACTGTGACAGCTGCCACCAAGAATGACAGAGCTTCACATTTTCATAGTGACAGTCTCCATCAAATGCAGCATCAATTCTTGAAAACCAGCAGGAGGGATAGGGAAGGGAATGAGAGAAACTGAGGCATGAAGTTAGACAGCAAAGCAGTTGGCTCAAGGTCACCCGGACCAAGATACCCAGAGTCGGGAAGAAGGTATCCAACCTCCAGCCCCACAAAGTGCTCAAACCCCACACCAAGGAACGTTTGGACCTACCTACAAGTCCCAAGTCTGGTCAGCTATGCACCCCCACCATGTCCTCATCTGTTTCCCCTTCCCCCAAAACAACAGTAGCTCCGACATATCCTGAGAAGTCTTCAGCCAGGAGCCCTCCGCCAGCGCCACCGAGGGGGAGGAAAACACTTCCCTTAAAGTTGGGGGCTTCAGGACCTCCTGCTTCCATAGTATTTGGAGAGAGGGAAAAACAGTCCGGGACCTCCTCCTTGCAAAATCCTTGCTCCTGCTCACCTGGCTCCCCTCGGCCCCCGGGGTCCCTCGATCCAGCCTCCTCCCTAGGAGATCGGGCGCTGCCCTCAGCGGTCCTCTCCCACCAGGCCAGGGCAAAGCGCCGGAGGCACTGCCAGGGCTGCATGGGGAGGGGTGGGGCGGGGGGGCCAGCACTAGCAGCCGCACACGCCCCGCCGGGCCCTGACAGCCGAGCTGCGGAGGCACCAGGCCGGCCCCCTCTGCTTCCACCAGCATCCTGCTGCCCCCACCGACAGGACTCGGAGCTGGCCCCGGAGCTTCTGACGTAGCAGGGGGGTGCGTGGGAGGGGAGGGGGGGGCTATGGCGCGTCCCCTCCCCAGCCCCGCCTTCTGCCCCTCAGCCCCTGGTGGTCCCTACCTCCTCACTCACCCAGGATGCTCTCCCCAGCTGGGGGCGCCCTCCCTTGCCCTCTGGCCTCCGCAGGGGGAGGGCTTAAGATCAAATAGCCCCTCCCCCAGCCCCTCCCCCTTATGGCCCCTCCCTACCCGCCAGCTGAGCGGGGAGCTGGTCCCCTGTTTCTGCAACTGCTGCCTAGGCTCGAGGTCTCCAGGGCTAGGGCCTCGAGGTGAGGGGGGCGGGGGGGGAAAACAGGCTTGTATCCTGGCAACACAGCTAACCCCAGAATGCACTCATCCCCTTCCTTCCCTGGGGGGCTGGCGCAAAGCGCCTACCACCACCGTCCAAGCGCGTTCACCCCATTCTGGGACCTGGGGGAAAGAGAGGCCTTTGAGGCTCCCCGCCACCCACTTCTCCAACCCCTTCGCCTCCCCACCCCCCACCTCCCGCATCCTCTTCTTCCACCACCACGGATGGACCACTCCCCTCCCCCACTCCTCTCACTATCCATCCCCTTTCTTCTCCCCACCCCTCCTTCCTCCAAACGTACCCCTTTAAATTTTCACCCTTCGGGCCCTCTCCCCCGGGCATCACGAGGCCCTCCCCGCTTGGTCTCCAGCCTCGCCAATTCCTGACCCCCTCTGGTCCCAGGACTCCTGTCGCTCGGGTCCTTCTTCCAAGCCAGCACGCCGCGGTCCCCTGTCCCCCCCCCTCCCGGCCACCTGCGCCCCGAGCATCCCTTGCCCCACCGGCCGCCGCCTCCCCGGTCCGGCCGCCGCCCCCGCCCCCGGCCGAGGGGAAAACACACAAAGAAAACAGAAATACCTTCCACTTAAGCATGGAGGCACATTAGGGAGGAGAGAGACAGGGACATGCCTTGGGACGGAGCGTTCCCCATCGGGCGGGGGCGCGGGGGGCGGGGGCCCCGGGCCGGCCTGCCTGGCGCTCGCCCTCTCGCCGCCTCGCGGACTCCTCGCTCGGCCCCAGCCCGGGGGCGCGGTGCCAGGCGGGCGGGCCGGGGGCGCGGGCCCCGCCGGGGTGGACCAGCTGGGAGGGCGCCGGCGGCCGGGCGTGTGGGTGCGCGCGCGCGCGGGCGTGTCACCGAGTGTGCGAGAGCGAGTGTGTGTGTCTATGTGTGTGTATGTGTGTGTGTATGTGTGCGGGGGGGGGCGCGCGCGCGGGCCGGCGCGGGTGTGTCACTGCGGGCGGGAGCGCGCGCGGCGCGGGTACCCGCGTGTGGCCGGAACGTACAAAGGGCCGCCGGGGGTGGCGGAGAGCGGAGGAGAGGAGGGGGCGCTGCGCCTCACGCCCTCCAGCTGCACGGCGGGATCCCGCGGCGCGCGGCCGGGCCAGGGGTGAGGGGCGCGCTCACGCTCCCCTCCACCCGACCTGCTTCTCCCACCCCAAGCCATCCTCGCACCACCACCACCGAGACAAATGCCTCAGGCCCGGGACCAGCCTCAGAGGAGAGGGGTGCACCTCGAGGGTGGGGGACTTCTCGGTCTCCGAGCCCTGGCTCGCCAGGGGATTAGGAGGCATTCGGGGAGGAACAGGGCAGGGAGGCAAGCGGAGCTGAGGGACCGGGTGGCCACTTTTCAGCCAAGGTGACCTCCGAAGGCCACAGCCGCCCTATGCAGGGAGAGGCTGGACCCTCCTTGGCCTCTGCAGGGGTCGCCCCCCCTCCCCCACTCCTTAGACTCCGCTCAGCCTCAGGGATCCAGTCCCCCGGCGCCCCCTGCTGGGCTGTGTCCTTGCCCCCAGCTCCAGTTGCGGCCCCTCCTGCAGGCGTCTGCTGGAACTGCAGAGGCCAGTGCTAGGATTGAGGGGAGCCAGCTCCTCTGTCAAGCAGCACCCCGAAGGAGCCCGCCCAGCCCCTTCTCACACCTCGCTCGGCTCTGCCACGGCCACCTCCAAGGCAGCATGCGGAGCGCTAGCTCTGCCCCCGCCCCCGCTTTATTCCCACCTCCTGTCCCACCTTGGCCTACCTGTTGGCTCAGCCGACCACTGGCTCTGACCGGCACTGACCCTGACCTGCCCTCCGGAGCCGGTTGCTTGCTTCCTCTCTCCCGCCCGCTCTCTGTCCTGTCCCTCCTCTCGCAAACTGCTCTTGGAGAGGAGAAAGTGGACTGAGTCCCCTGCCCCTTTTCTTTACCTTCCCAAAGCCACTTTAGATGGAGCAAGAAAGGGGCACAGGAACTCTCTTCAATATAGGGCGCCAGGCAGGCAGCAAGGCAGGAGAGAAGACCCCACCCCAAGTGGCGCAAATGACAAACCGGTTTCCCCACTTCCTGGTCTACCCAGGTTGCAAGCTTAATCTAGGCTCTCCCATTTTCCTGCCCACTCCCAGGCCTGCCCCTGGACCAGCCACATGCCTGGCTAGGGGCAAGTCCCAGATGCCCCTCGAGATTAATCTCCAGGTGCAGTAGCTTAGCCGGCAGGGCCAGGGCCGGACAGGGAGGGGTTCCTTCCCAGCTCCAGCAGGGCTAGATCCGGAGGGCAGCCAAGAGCCGTGTCTCAGACACACCGTCTGGGCACACGACCCCAGCAGTCGGCACCCTGACTTTTCCCATTCCGGGCCAGCTGCTCTCCCTCTGCCAACTGGACAGTGCCCATCTTTTGGCCTCAGCGCACAGCGGGCACTCTTCCAGCTCCCTGCCTGGCTCTCTGCCCAGGATGGGCATGGGAGGCAGCGGGCCCTGTGTAGGGGAGGGGGCTGTGTAGGGAGGGATGGCTTTCCCCCGACTGCTCGGACACCACTTCCCACGCCTCTCAGAGCCTCCAGGCTGGGCACTCAAGCTTCTGCGCCTCTCAATCAGAAGTCTGACTCAACTGCACAGACTCCATCCCTTCCTCTCCCTTCAGGTTTCCCCTAAGACGGGGTCTCTTCCCTGCCCCACTTTGTGCACAGCTAAGGAGAAGGGAATCAGCAAGTGCTTTACTCAGATTCTCTCATTTAACCCTCTCAACAATCCTGCAGAATGGGCATCTTTGGCCCCATTTCAGAGATAAAGAGTTGAGGCTCAGACAGGAATAGCTACGTGTGCCCACTCTAAGAGTAGCACAGCTGAAATTCAAACCCAGATCTGCCTGACTTCAAAGCTCTCAGCATCTTTCCCATCACCAGCAGCACCTCCTGTGTGCACTGCCAGAAGCCGGGCCAGCCTCGGTGGATGGAAGAGAGCTGAGCTCAGGAACGTTCAGTTATGTCAAGGTTAAGGAACTGGGCATTAGCCCTGGATGATGACAGGAAAGATACTTGCCCAGTCCCATGGAGATTTTTCTGCCCTTAGGATAAATGCCAAGAAGCCACTGGTTTGGAGACTGGATGGAGAGTCTCTATGAATCAGCCCCCAGAAACTGGGAAGAGTTCCAAAGGTGTCAGCAGGACAGTGCATCCATCTTTCCCCACCCTGACGTGACCTCCTGCATCAGGAGGGCTCCAGGATCCTGACGTGAGCCCAAGGCAGACGCTTAGCCACTGAGCTAAGGAGCTCCAGGCACACAGGAGCTCACTTCTTAAAGAGGAACACTTAACATATTTTTTTTAAGATTTCATTTATTTATTTGACAGACAGAGATCACAAGTAGGCAGAGAGCCAGGCAGAGGCAGGCAGAGAGGAGGAAGCAGGCTCCCTGCTGAGCTCGATGCAGGACTCGATCCCAGGACCCTGAGATCATGACCTGAGCCAAAGGCAGAGGCTTAACCCACTGAGACACCCAGGCTCCCTGACCCTTAACATTTCTCATCGTCTGCTTAGCCTTGATTTCATTTGACCCCCTATTCCCCTGAACTACATCCACACCCACACAACCCAGGACAGCTGGGTCCCATAGAGGGGTGAGAGGAGATACAGCTTCAGAACCGAAACAAAGGCCCTGAGACCCCACAGTGAGACAGAGGATGGGTGGATGGCATTGACCCTCACCCCCCACCGATCCTCTGGCCCAGCCCCCCAGGGAAGATTGGTTCCCGGCCCCTATCACATCTCCGAAGCAGAGTCTCCTGGGGTAGGGAAAAGGCTGGGAAGCCATTGCCACTGATCAACAGTAGAGCAACTCAGGTAGTATTTCTCCAGCCCAGAGACGAGAGAATTGCTCCTGGAAGCTGGCTTGGTGCCCGGGCACAACCCGTGTGCCAGCTGCCTGCACCTGAGATGCTGCAGGTGCCACCCCACCCCCACTTGCAGTCCTCAACAGGTAACTTCCCTCTAGCCCTCCTCCCAGCCAGTGTCTCTGGGCATTGCTCTTGGTCGGGAGGGGGCAGCTGGCTCGTATGAGGGATCCACTATGGCCAAGTTTAACGGAGCTTCTCACACACTGTCCCTGCCCCATCCCTGGCCTGTTCCTGGGAACCTGTGGGAGGGAGGTTATGGGGGAGCATGCTAGAGGTGAGAATTCTCGGCCACTCCTTCCCCAAGTTACAGTGAGAACAGGAAGCACACCTGGACAAACATCTGGCAGGAAGAGGGACATGGGACCAGGGGTGGGCAGAGAGAGGCACTGGGGCCTCTAGGGAAAGGCACAGGGAAAATGATGATGTGGAAATGGTGGCTGGCATATGCTGAACTGCTCACTCTGACATGGTGGGAACCCCCTTCCCCCCCAGATCCTAGAGAAAGCCCCCTGCATTTCATGAGCCCCTTGGACCATACACCCTCCAACAAGAGTGGCCCGCAGGCAGTGAGGGGGCTGCACTATGGCCCTGTACCTGAGAGAAAGTGACCAGGGGGGTGACCTGGCATTTGGAGCAGAAACTGTCAGGGGTGGGG